ACCATCATAATACCAATAGGCCTACTCCCTATAAATCTATAGAGGTTTATAAAATCATGAGGGGTATAGATAGGGTTAATGGTAGGTGTCTTTTCTGTAGGATGGGGGAATATCATGAGTATGGGGCATATTTTTAAGGTGAGAGAGATTTTAAAAAGATGTGAGGAGAAAATTCTTTACATAGAGGGTGGTTCGCGTGTGGAATGAACTTCCTAAGGAAGCGGTGGGTGCTGGCACAGTTACGACAATTTAAAGACACTTAGATAAGTGCATGAATCGGAAACGTTGAGAGAGATATGGGCCAGGGTCAGGCAGGTGAGACTACTTTAGTTTGAGATTATGTTTGGCACGGACTGGTTGGACCAAGGGTCTGTTTCTGTTTTGTATGACTCTAAGACTCTATTGCAACTAACAACAGCCAGAATTGCCAAGTGCTAAATCCATCCCAGCCTCTTCAAGTCTCCAAAATCACAGATGCCACACTTCAGTCAATGACAACGCTTTGGCAATAGTACTAAAAGACTTGCACCACAGAATTCGCTGTTTCCCTAGCAAGCTGTTCTAATGGAACTGCAACAGTGATATTACCCAGCAATGCAAAAAAATGGCCATATCTCTCCTCGTCACAAAAAGTAGGACAGATCCAAAACAGCCAATTATTGCCCCAATAGTTGACACTGTCTTATTAGCAAAGTGACAGAAGATACCGTCGACAACCCCGTCAAGTTCCTCTTGCTCAGCAATAACCTGTTTATCGATACTCAAATTGGGTATAGTCAGGGTCAATCAACTCCTGAGCTTATTAGTGTTGGTCCAAATATGGACAAAGGAGCCTAATTCCACAGATGGGGTGAAAGAGATGATACTTGACACCAAGGCAACGTTCGACCGAGTACAATATCAAGGAGATCTAGGAAAACTGGAGTCAACAGGAACTGGAGAAGGGAGATCTTGGTTGTTGGAGTTCAATCATTTCAATCAAGAGCCACTGCAGGAGTTCCGCAAGGTAGTATCCTAGGTCCATCTTCAGTTGTTTCACTGATGACCTTCCCTCAAAATGATCAGGAGTGGGGAGATTTGCTGATGATTGCATAATGTTCAACATTATTTTTGACTCCTCAGATATAGAAGCAGTCAGTATCCATTTGGAACAATACCTGAACAATATTTAGGGCTGATAAGCAGCAAGGAACATTCAATGCTGCAGGAACAAAGCAATGATGATCCAGAAACAAGGAAGAATTTAACCATCGCTCTCTGGTATTCAACTGCATAGTCCATGCTTAATACAACCACCATACTACCTTTATCTGTTCTGTTACTTCCTCAAACTCAGAGGTCAGTTAGCTCATTTGGCTGGACAAGGCAGCATGACACCAAGCACAGGTTCAATTCCTGCAACAAGGTTACCCTGAAGGTCCTCCTTTCTCAGCCTGTACCGCAGCTGAGGAGTGGTGGTCCTCAGGTTAAACCATCACCAGTCATCTCTCTCTAATGAGAGATTAGCTCTATAAAAGGCCATTGGTTAGCTCAGTTGGCTGGATGGCTGGTTTGTAATACCAAAACGGGTTCAATTCTCACACTGGCTGAGGTTACCATGAAGGACTCTTTTTCCCAACCACTCCCCTCATCTGAAGTATAGTGATCCCCAAATTAAACCATCACCTGTTGTCTCTCTGTAATGAGAAAGCAGCCTCACGATGACTGTACCTTTAATTCCTCAAACTGGTCAATAAGGATGGTCAAGCATGACCTTTTGAAATTTATGACGACTATTCTGTGTTATGTTTTTGGTTTCTAGATGACTTTCCATTACAAGTTTGTTAAAGATTCCACCGCATTTATTCTTCCCCCTCTAGATTTGTGATCTTTCAGTCCAGTCCTCTAACACTTATTGGAATTACATGCCAGATGTGTCTAATCAATCAATTCTATTCCTCCTACACATCTTAAATGCCTTGATTTTCTATTGATTTTTTTCACAAGATGTCACCCGCTTTGCTTTAGCTTTTACTAGGGAGAATACCAAAGCAGCTTTTGAATATTTCTGCCATTCCACCGCCAATATCAGAGCGTTATTCTGCATAATCCACAAGTGACCCTATCTAAATTCCCTTTTGTCATTTATGCATTCAAGAAGAGTTTATTTTTATTATTTAATGTCATAATTCCTCTCTGCTTTTCTAATTTGCCATTCAAATTGCATTGTTTGACATCCTTTCCTTCACAATTCTAATTTCAATAGTATACTGATATCACTGCTACAAATTAGTATATCACCACAACTAAGTCAAAAATTCATAGGATTTATGAATTTTTAACTATGCAATGTAAAAAAGTAATCATAGTAATTTTCACACTGATCCAAATTTTACACAAATTGAGGTTTTTAGGCTTCAGAACTATTTTGTTTGATAACACAAACAGTAAAAGAACACAGACTTAATACAAAAACAAGTATGTCTATAGTACCTTTAATGTAATAAGGTATCCTAAAGCACTTCACAGAGGCATCCTAAAGCAAATTTGACAGCAACCCACCATGTCTGCTTGAATGTTTTTATTGCTGTGCACAGACTATTCATTTAAGCACATGCAACTGTTAAGTTTCTGTGTGGCCATGTACAGTAACAAAGGAGACAGGAACATTTAGGCCACTACTCATTTGCAACGTATTGAGGAAATACTGTAAGCAACGTAAGAAGACATGTGAACAGATGACCAAAAGCTTGATCAAACAGTGTTATAAAGGAGGAAGGGGAAGCAGAGAGGGTAGAGAGAGATTTAGGGAGGGAAATTCAGAGGTATTAATCTTTGTGGTAAAGGAACAACTAGCCATGGTAGAGTGATTCAAATCAAGGATGTTCAAGAGGACAGAATTATAGTAGCAGATGTCTTGAGCTAGAAGAGATCACACAGGTAGAGATATGCAAGACCATAAAGGAAGGTGGAAATTTTAAAATTGAGTTCATCAGGAGCCAATGTTAGTCAGTGAGTATACAGGTGATGAGTGACAAGGACTTGATGCAAGTTAGGATGCAGGTTACAATTTTAGTTGACTCTCACTTATGATGGATAGAACACAGGAAACAGACCAGAAATGTGCTGGATTAGTCACGTCTTGAGGTGAAAATTACATTCATGGGGATGCCAGCATCAGATGAATGGAGACAGATAATGTTGCAGAGGTGGGTTTAATGATTATATAGATGTGGTTTGAAGTACTTCAGGGTCAAATATAACACCAAGATTGCACACAGTCAGACAGTGGCCAGGGAGAGCCATGAATTCAGTGCCTAGGGAACAGATTTGTGTATTAATTTTGATCAAGCAGCCAGGAATGGGCATGGTATTGGTCCTTGCGATTCGGAACTTGAGACAAGGGATAAACAAGAGAGTTGAAAGCTTATCCAGGACTTTATGTCAAGCAGACAAATAACAAAGCTGCAATCATGGGTTTGCGACAGTAGTTGAGTGGTAAAGTCAAGTCTCAGGCACACATGCAGAAGCTAATTTTATGCTTAAATTTTCTGAGAAACAGCCGATGGTTGAGGAAACAGCCAATATGGAATTTTAAGCCTCGCTATAAATGATGATGCAAGTATTATGATCTCAGCTGATGGTAATATTGGACGTTAGATCCCAGAATGAAAATTGGCTTGATAGTCTATAAGTTAGATTTTGTTTTGTTTACTGTGCAGTTCAGTCAATGAACATATTCATAAGAGGCTGACTACATTCTTTTAACAAAAAAATAAAGTTTATCAGTCAATGAGAAGTGCTAAAATGATCTCATTACAAACACCTGAAATAAAGACTTCTCCTTTATATCCCAGAAATACCCCCACGCAGACAAACCATAGTGAAGAGTTATCCCTATCTCCACATTAAAGCTTCTTGCTCAGATAGAATGCCTGTAGTCAACTTCCTTTCCGCAAAACTCAGTTAATGTCTCTCCTCAAGACCCTTAAAACAAACAAACTGCTAATTCAACTCATTATTTGCCAACATGGGTTCCCTAACATTATGTCTTCAACGACCTTGTAAGATGTCTTCCTCTCCGACAGTCCCACAGCCTTCTGCTCCTTGAACGTTCTCCTTACTGACTTTTAAGTACCTTGGGACTTCACCCAGCCATGACTACATGGATACTGCTAATAACAGCACCTTTGTTACTCTAGCTTCTCTCCCTGCATGGATAATGTTGACTCCTCTCTCTCTGGTGGTCATAAAACACAAGTCAGCAAATACCTTAGCAATTATTTCCCCATGTGACTTGCTTGTCATTTAGCTGAAATCACATGACTTCTTGTAAATGCTGTGTTAAGCACAATGTTCAAATGACTTTCTGACCTTTAAAACAAAACAGGTCAGCATCTAGACAGAATTGAAAAATTCAAATCCACTTTAGAACCCAAGCCTGAAATAATGTAAAAATAAATATTATGAACCTTCAAAACAAGGGAAGGAGAAACCACAGGGTCATGAAGTGATATATTTTGATACGCTGGGTGGAGCAGAAAATGGGAGGTGCCACAAAATGGACCAAGAAAGAATCAATGATATTCAATGCCCCAGAGCAACAGAGAAAGGCAAGGAGGGAGAATATTATAGCCACAGTTACACTGATGTGTTGACGAGTAACCAGATGGATGCAAAGATGAAATGGTGAACTTGAAGTTAAAAGCAATATTGGAGGTGAATCTTCAGTCCAAACAGACATATAATTGACAGTAACTTATTTTAAAGTCAGGTTATTTGCCATTCATGGTTGAAATTACAGTAATTCAGTTTTGCAGAGGTTTGAACAATAAACAATACTACTGCATAAACAGAGAGCTTCAATTCAATTTCGTATCTGCAATTGCTCCAGAGGCCCAGATTTAAATGAAACAGATGTATTCCACATAAAATCATAAGCAAAAATCTTAAATCAAAATATAAGTTGAAAAAAACTGCATGCAATTATTAATGAAAAAGCTGCAAGCTCTTTAACTAACCTGCGAAGTTTCTTCCTGTGAACATCCCATAATGCCACAGTACCATCAGCTGCACCAGATATCAAATAATTGGAATTATCAGAGAATTTGCAAACCCTTACTGGACTTTCACTCGGCTGTTTCAACGTTGCCAACTTTTCCCCCGAACTGGGATTCCACAGCACAGTGTTCCCATCAGTTGAACTGGAAGCTAGAAACTTCCCACAGGAACTAAAGCAACATGAATGTACACCATAACTATGACCTTTTAGTGGTGAGAAAGAGAGCTCTGAGAAATCCTTCAATAAATAAAGGCGTATTGTTCTATCCAGTGAACAGGAAGCCAGGTAAGTGGAAGAGAAAGCACAACAGTTAACATCATCAGTATGGTCTGTGAAAGTTTGGACGAGCGTTACCATGGCCAACAGTTTTGAATATTGCTTCTATAAAGAGCTTGGTTTTCTTTCTCTCTTGAAATGGTGAAACCTGTAACGACATCCAGGTAAAATAAACGGGGGTTAATATCAATGTGTTATCTGCAAAAATGATTATGCAATTGTCAGAAAAGTTATTTTGTTGTAATCAGAAATGAAATATAAAGGAAATTTCAAAACAATTTTGATTCAAAGAATATTTTGTGACTTGCTAATTTGACTGCCAGTATTAAACCATAAAAAGTCCTCCCTTAAGTATAAGAGATGTCAATGTCTAATAAAAATGTTTTCAAAATGAATGAGAGAATCATATAAATGTACTGCACAGGAGTGGTTCTCCAGCCCATTGTATATATGTTGGTTCTGTGGAGGAGCAATCATGTTTAGTCCTATTTTTGGCCCATAAACTTGCAAGTTCCGAAGTTTTACATCCATACATACTGTCCAACTTCTTTTCAAAATTATTTATGAGATCAGTTTCATCACCATTGCATGCAGACTGCTCCAGAAGTGAACAACTCTAAAAGCTGTCACTCACTTTTTGAACTTCAACCATTGATTCAAAAACCACAACTTCTGATTATTGAGCAACTCACCAAAGGGAATAGTATCAAAACCCCTCATCATATTGAAAATCTCAATTAGGTCACCTAATAAACCTCTCTATTCTGGATGCTATTGCTCTAGCATCATAGAATGGTTATAGCACAGGAGGCCATTCAGCCAGTTGCATCCAATGACAGCTTTCTGCAAAAGCAATTCAACTCCATCTTTTGCCTTTAGCACTGCAAGTTTTCGCTTCAAAAAAGGGCTCAAAAATTTTTTGATGACCTGGATCGAATCTACCTTGAACACGCTCAGGTAGTTGCATTTGACATGCTAACCTTTCACTGCACAAATCATTTTCTCAAGTCACCTATTGTCACCCTTGCCAAACACCTATAAACTGGCTTTCTGTAGTTCTCAAACTGGTTGCTGGCAGGAATAATTTATCCAATTCACTTTCTCCAGTTTTGAGTACTTTTAGCCTTTAAATCTCTAAAATGTCCCTTAGAAGGCCATGTGCACCACAATCAAGCATATTACCTTCTTTGACACTGTTACCTCACTAAAATTGCAAACAGATTATTCTGTCTTGCCTTGAACACATCTACGCTGGCGTCCTTAATTAGTCCATACTTGTTTAAGTAATTGTTAATTTGTCCAAACTGTCGTTTCTAAAAGCTTTTGCACCAAGTTAAACTGACTGGCATGTAGCACTGAGCTCCTCCTCACACCCTTTTTGAACAAGGAATAACTTTTGTAGTTCTTCAATCCTCTGACATACCACTGTATCTGAAGTGCTAAAATGAGAATGACCAATGACCAAAGACAAAGGTCTGAAAAAAAATTGTGGAATATAGACAGGGTGAAGAAGCCATTTGGCATGCTTGCCTTCATTGTTCATAACATGTTCCTGCAGAAGATGGAGCATGTATGGAACAAGCTGCCATAGCAAGTGAACTGAGTTCTGAGGAAGGGTAACTGGACCAGAAACGTTAACTCTGTTTTCTCCTTCACAGATGCTGCCAGACCTGCTGAGCTTTTCCAGCAATTTTTGTACCTTATTTACTTACTGTTTGTTAGCAGCTGTCAAAGTTTCAGAACATGACAGCTTATTGCTGTGAAAAGGGGACCACGTTTACCTTTCTCCAACAGTTCTGCACTATGAAAGAACTGTCAGAATGAAATGTGGGTCCTCATTCCTGAGGCAGCCTGAATGGAATCTCATCTCAGAAGTGCAGAGCTCCCTTCTCTCACAAAAAAAGGGCTCTGTGTAACACTGTCACTCTTCAAGAAATCAGCCCATTACTTTTAGTCTATGTTTACCCATTATTACCCTCAAAACTTGGATCAATGCATTTTTTTTAAAAATCAAAGCAACCTTAGTATTTTAGCATTCGTTGCAGTTAGTACATTTGATACAGCATGAGTTCACATCAACTCGATTATGTAAATATGTAGCAAAGCAAAGGGACTACTGCAGTGCTTCGAAAAATTACTTTCCAATGTGACCCCATTTCAACTCATTGCCACTTCAAGGGGAATTAAGGATGACCAAAAGGCAATGCCTTAGTTCCATGAATATATAAAAAAAACTTGAAAAATAATGTAGCCCCAGACAACAGCAAATACAAAACAGCAATAAAGCAGCATAGCACAATTCAGTGTACAAGTAAAATTTGCCTATTACATATCAACATAAAATTGCCACCAAGCTCTCCATATTCCCTGATGACTGAAGACTCATTGAATAACTTCACTCTAACACACATTATGAACAAAGAGAACAAAGAACAAAGAATATTACAGCACAGGAACAGGCCCTTCAGCCCTCCAAGCCTGCGCTGATCTAGATCCTCTATCTAAACCTGTTGCCTATTTTCCAAGGATCCGCTACCTGCCCATTCATGTATCTGGCTAGATACATCTTAAATGACACCACCGTGCCCGCCTCTACCACCTCCGCTGGCAACGCATTCCAGGCACCCACCACCCTCTGCATAAAGAACTTTCCACGCATATCTCCCTTAAACTTTTCCCCTCTCACTTTGAAATCGTGACCCCTATTAATTGAGTCCCCCATCCTGGAATAAGGCAAATTGCTTCCCACCCATCCACCCTGTCTATGCCTCATGATTCTGTAGACCTCAATCAGGTCCCCCCCCTCAACCTCCGTCTTTCCAATGTAAATAATCCTAATCTACACCACCTCTCTTCATAGCTAGTGCCCTCCAAACTAGGCAACATCCTGGTGAATCTCCTCTGCACCCTCTCCAAAGCATCCACATCCTTTCAGTAATGTGGCGACCAGAACTGTACGCAGTATTCCAAATGTGGCTGAACCAAAGTCCTATACAACTGTAACATGACCTGCCAACTCTTGTATTCAATACCCCGTCCGATGAATGACAGCATGCCGTATGCCTTCTTGACCACTCTATCGACCTGCGTTGCCACCTTCAGGGTACAATGGACCTGAACACCCAGATCTCTCTGTGCATCAATTTTCCCCAGGGCTTTTCCATTTACCGTATAGTGGCCAGCCTCCAACCCTCACACTCACCTTCATTCAGCAGCCTCCTTTCCGAAGCTCTCCATCCCACGCAATGAACAACCCCACTTAACACCACAAAAAAAAAACGAATAAAACTATAGATGCTAGAAATGCAAAACAAAAACAAATTGCTGGAAAAAGTCATCAGGTCAGGCAGCAAAGCTAATGCTTCAGTTCAGGTAACCCTTCTTCCACTCCATCCACCTGCAAAACCCGACAGTCTGGCTCCTCCAACAGTCTTAAGGCAACATTAAACTACCTTCAGGGCCCGCAGCCACTTTCAAAGCCATGCTATTACAACTGATACACTGCACAGCATTAAATATAATATCTTCGATCAAATTATCTTCCTTGAAAAGGAGGCTGATTAGATGGAATAGTCTGGTTCTAGCTTGTCCTCACCCTCTGCTTTCTCAACTTGTCAAACATTGTCGGCTGCAGGTGTTAATTTGCCATTTGCTGCATCTCTTGCTCCAAAACTCTCTAACTTGTCCCATTCAAGATGGCTTCACTTGAAAACACAACAGCATTCAGACTTTGCCCGTTGTGCAGAAACACAGCAAACCTACATGGCACCAATGCCAGCAAGAGGAGAAAGCACACTCCTACTATGTGGACAGGTCCCTTTTTGCCTTTGTAACAATCCTATAATACTGCACAAGTCAGATCCCAGAGTGAAACATGGTTTAATTCATCATCGGCTTTATTTTTGCAGTTTGGTTACCAAGGTGGTTAGTCGCTGAGTATATTCACAGAAGGTTGATAATGTTCTTTAAAGAAAAGTGAACAAGTTTGTTACACAAACAAAAAGGACACATAACATGCAATTTAGAAAGATCATAACCTAAACAGAAAAATGCAAGACTCACCAATTTTCCCAACAATAACCTTTACAGATACACAATTCCATTGAAGTATTGTTTTCCTAACTTTAAGACGTTTTACTGAATTGACTCTTTCCAGTTTGATTCCCTATAGTTTCTTTTCAGCTCTGAGACTTGGAAACTTCTTTCCAGTTTTGACAGCATGGTTTTCTTTTCAGTTGTCACAAGCTAGAAACTTCTACCAACTCTCTCGGCCTGGAGATTTCTATGAAACAACATTTCTCCACCTGGAGACTGCCAAACTAACCTGCCCTTCTGCCAATATGAAACTGTTTTTCCTGAAGTCAATTTACTGGTGACACCTTAAAAAAAACTGCAGATCCTGGAAATCTGCAAGAGTTGGAAGAGCTGGAGAAATTCAGCAGATCTAGTATCATCTATGGAGAGAGAAACAGAATCAACATGTCAAGTCCAATATGATTCTTTTTCAGAAGTTAAAGGAGCTATATTTTTTAATGCTAGTATCAAAGCAGGAACAAGTGAAACAGATGGTGAGCATGGCCAGAGGAAGAAACAAAGGCAGTGATAGTTGTGTCACAGGAGAGCTATACAAGTAAAATAGTGTACATGTTAGCTGTGAAAAGGAGAAAATGTGTCCACTATGGTGAAAGCAAAGCCGACAAGACATGTCCGGGGGGAGGGGTGCATCAAGGGATATTTTAAAAAAAAGTATAGAGACCACACTCTGAAGTTGTGCAACTTAACATCAATTCCTTGAGGCTGTAAAGCGCCTAAGTAGAAATTTCCGTTCTTTTGTGCACAATATAATATTTTTTGGAATTGAAACTAAGCAGCACCAAGAATCTTTCAAGTTAAGGATTATGCCTTACAACAGCCCGCTGATTGGTTAAGCTGCAGACTGTGGAAAAGTTGCAAGTGTCAAGAGTAGCAAGGAATGGAAACCATCCAAAGCCTGCAGACAGAAAGCATCTCTCTCTCTCTCGGTATGGGAAAAAGACAGACAAAAAAGTTAAAAGACAGAATTCAAACAAGAAATAACCTAAGTACACCTGATCTACCATTGAGTTGAAGAATGACCATCATCCTGCAGGCAACAGCATGTCATCATTG